AGTTTACCAGTAAAGTCCAATGATGAGACTCATGAACAACTCCAATCAATGTATCAAAATCTGACAAATTTAACTGCAAATTTAAAAAAGAAATTAAAAATAAGAAACTTTATTTAAATAGTGCTAAAATATGTTCATAGTTAAAAATAAAGTTTTAAATTAACCTTTCGAAATGATGTAGGTTTTCCACACCATATGCTGGTCATTGCAAATGAGTCAATTAGGTTTTTTTCAATACGTTCTTATTACAATCCGATACCAATGAGTACAGGTAAGCGTTAATTATCTTTAAAATAAAGAAAAAAGGTTATTTAGCCATTTAAAAAATATTTTTTTATAAAAACTGTTTGCACTCATAAAGACATAATTACATTAAAATAAAAAACATAATATTTTGTATACATGCATAACTTATACATGAAAATTAGAGCTTTGACGCTGAGTATTATAGCTGTTAATAACCAAACAATAATACTATCATTATTATTATGACAGCATAACCATCATTAATGGTCATATATAGTCACAAAAAGCCTGCTGGAATAACATGCCTCTTTTATTTAAAAAAATATATACAATTAAATAAAGTTTAATATGATAACTACCATGTAAATTACTTTGATAACACTAAAAAAATGTAATATACTTACCTGGTCTTCAACTTCAGATCCTGGTCGTAGAGACAACAAATCAATATAAAAAATTGAATAAGCTCCAATTTTTGCAAGCAGAAAATGTCCCGTGATGTTTTGCCACACCTCGATTATTACTATGAAAGAAAGTTTATTATTAATATTGGTAATTACATATACATTCTCTAGTACAGTTAATGTTATTAACATACTTTGAGCATGTGGACAGTCGTAAGATTCTTGACCTTTTTGTTCCATACTATGTACTTCAACTACATTCGAACTTTCACTTTCTTTGGAGCTCTCACTTTCGGTAGGAGACTCAGCAGTTATGTCCATCAAAGGACAAGATTTCGTCGGTGACTCTGCTGTTATTTCCGACATTATTTCCATTATGGATGGATCCTCTTTGTTTATCCGGTGTGGTACTCGTTGACACTGTTTTTTAAATTTTTTTAACCGATCGGTATTCACCATTTCCATTTTACCTGTATCATGTTGAATGTGAGCTACTTTGCTCTCCAACTTCAAAATTTGAAAAGGCCCAACAAATGTCGATTCTAATTTTTTCTCCCTTCCTTTGTAGGAATCATTATACAGCGCAATGGAGAATACCACCAGCTATAGAGGACTACAAATCCCAGCAATAATACATTATATACAGCGCAATGCAGAGTAACGCCAGCTACAGAGGACTACAAATCCCAGCAATAGTACATATGTAGTATAATGTAGTATTGCTACATTCCTCTATAGCTGCTGGTATTCTGCACTGTATTGCACACCACACTCTTTTTTTTTTACTTCTACCGCGCCAAGCTTGCTCCCGTGATGGACTACAATCTCACCACAAACTAGTAGTCCATCACTGGAGCCTTTTTTTTTAAATCCGATTAACCGATTAATCGAACTTAATAATCGGCCAACTAATCGATTATGAAAATAATCGTTAGCTGCAGCCCTAGACAGTATTGCTGATGTTTTGTTTTTTTTTGTCTGGAGACAGCATGGATACACACTATGAAACAACCCACAACAACAAAATAATTGAAAAATCTAAATTTAAAAAGATATATTTGAACATTTTTATTTATTATAGAAAAACCCTTAAAGGAGAACTATGGGGTTAAGTATTTTCCCCATAGTTCTCCTTAGGGTAACGGGAGGACACAAACTAGCGTCCTCCCGTCACCCTAGGCTCAGTATACAGCGAGCGGTATACTGAGACGCCGCAGCTGAATTGGATCCGCCCAGCTGCGTGACTGACAGCTGCCTCTGCCTATCTAGGGCTGCAGAAAAACGGGCTACCTGCATGTTTCATTATGCAGTAACAAGCAAGAGGTGGCACTATCGCATGAGAGCCACTATAACTGACAGTCCTTTTCCTGAAACACCCAAAAGATCTACAGTAGATTTAAAGCTATTTCCCACCAGCCTTACTGCGTTCCGTCCTGAACGCACTGGATCGCATTACGGCCAGCTCATATTGTTTTTTGGCGGGTAGGGGCCATGTCGGTGCATAGGACTCAATGGCAGCACAGCCATGGCCCTCCGTCGGCAAAGCAATCGGACACTTGAGAACGCGCGGCACTTGAATGCCTGTGTTCCTGTCCTGTGAGTAAAAAAAAAAGGGCATGCATCATTTTTCTGACCGCAATCGACAGAAACACCATAATTGATGTACAACACGTCCTGTGTTGCCAATGGCATTGCAGGCTGGAGGGCACAGCTGCGTTGCCATTGAGTTCAATGCAATGCACCCTCCTGCCTACGGTAAAAAAATAATATAGCATTTAATAATAGTACAATGACTAAGATACTCTCTTCTCAACAGTAGCAAAATACTTATTACATGACAAGTAGTCCAAGTTCACATATTGTTCCACAAGTACTAACCCATACCAATTACTGTTTTTTTAAAAGTGACATTTTGAAAAAAAAACATTAGAGGATTATAATTGTAGGGCAGTGGTGGAGGATCAGAGCCTATTCTGAGCTGCAAGCCCTGTGACCCTGTAAGTTCTGCTAATGATTATAGGAGACTATACAACTCAGTGACAGATTATACAGCAATGCAGAATACCACCTATTAACACTGGCAATGTTGTTGAATCCATATTGGAGGGTGTAACCAATTCAGACATCAAATGGCAACTTGCTATCAGAATAAGTTTCCCCTGGCAATAAGGGTCTGATGAATTGTGGGACAGTGAGGATGGTCTATCTGGGGTGTGGGACACACAGAGGTGGCATTCACAATTGATTTTTACCTTTTGAAATGGTGTGGAGGCCATATTGGAGGGGGGAACCAAATATGATAGCAAATGCTATCAGAATCCGTTTCCCCTGGACAATAAGGGTCTGATGAATTGAGGATGGTCTATCTGGGGTGTGGGGCACACAGAGGTGGAATACACAATTAATCCTGACCCTTGTAATGGTGTGGAGGCCATATTGGAGGGGGAACCAAATATGATAGCAAATGGCAACTTGCTATAAGAATCCGTTTCCCCTGGACAACAAGGGTCTGATGAATTGTGGGACAGTGAGGATGGTCTATCTGGGGTGTGGGGCACACAGAGGTGGCATTCACAATTGATTTTTACCCTTGTAATGGCGTGGAGAACCAAATATGATAGCAAATGGCAACTTGCTATCAGAATCCGTTTCCCCTGGACAACAAGGGTCTGATGAATTGTGGGACAGTGAGGATGGTCTATCTGGGGTGTGGGGCATGCTTATAATGAGTATTGCTGATTAAGATTATAATTGTTGATTACAATGAGCAGTATGGATTACGATCGGTTGTATGGATTAAGATTATAAATGTGGATTAGGATGAGCGGACTATGATGTGCGGTGCCGATGATGAGCAGTGCGGACTATGATGAGAAGATTGCTGATGAGTGGTGCAGATTATGATGAGTAACTTGGACTATGATGAGCGCTGCGGATTATGACAAGCGCTGCAGACTATGATGTGCGGATTATGATGAGCGCTACGGATTATGACAAGCGCTGCAGACTGATGTGCGGATTATGATGAGCGCTACGGATTATGACAAGCGCTGCGGACTCTGATGAGCGGATTATGACAATGTGCGGGCTATGATGAGCGGATTATGATGATCGCAGACTGACGAGCGCTGCGGATTATGAGCATTTTGGAATTTAGCAGAAAGTGAGAAAACTCTATACACTTGTCTGTGTTAAGTTCTCATTCACACACATATACAGATAAATAAAAATATGTTTATTTTGCATCCTGTGTAGAATAGAAGAGGACATCAGCATAAGACTGTGGAGGAATGTGAGGGACAGACGATCTCAGCGGGCAGAGTCCAGCGATCACATCGCAAACACTGTCATCTCTAACTAACTGAAAACCTAAGCTTTCAGAGAGGCGGGTCTATGTAGATTCATATGCAGCTGAAGGGAGGAAAAGCAGTTATGGAAATAGCCGAGCGGCTGGGGGAACAGATCGCGACGCGAAACGGAATTCGACACAACACCGGCAGTGACACAAGCGATCGAGCGTCTCTAGAGACGCCCGATCGCTTGACTGTAAAGCTGCCGGCCGTGTAATTGCAACGGCCGGCAAGCTGTTCGTCCGGCTCCACCGTCCTCTCGTCACAGACAAGTGGATTTTTCAAGCCCTGCCAATTAGTATAAAACAAGCCACATTTGGGTGAGCCAAGATGGCTTTTGCAGAATTGATTGCCTCCTTATTCAGAATTTCCCATTGGAATGCATGCCAGTTAGGAAGCTAGGAGTGTTGCCATATTTCAAAATTAATATAGTGTAAACTTTGCAGATGGTTGTTTAGTAAAGAATCACTTTCATGGATAAATAAACCTGGGTAAAAATCATCTGTGTGAAACTTTCTGCATTTTAATAAGAAGCTGGCCGAAGAAGGAGCTAACCAGCATCATACAGCTGGGGGGCAATGCATTTCGAACAGAAAAAGGGACGTCCTGTTTTCAAATGAGGAGCTCCAGAGTACAAAAGCTTCCCCATCGCAAGGCCGCGGGTGACATCTGCCCGTTTACCATCCCCATTGTAATATATCGTGCAGACGTTTCCCCTCCGTGACCCACCACTAACAAGCGCCTCATGCTTCCTGTCCCTGGCGCCGATAGACCAGCACATTGGTTCCGGGGAGGGAGGCGTCTCCAGGCCGCGGTGGATTCTGGGTCCGGGACGCGTTTCCATGGTGACAATAGACGCTTTTCTCTCCCTGGACGATCCTCTGTAGCTGTGGCAGCGGTAACTGGGCTATTTAACGTTACTTTTTCTTTCTCGCGGCACGTTTATTCATATCATGGGGTGAATTTGTTTTTGTCTATCTGCCGTTTCCAGGCACGTATAATGCAGCTGTGTGTGAGAGAATGTTCAGGAGGGGAGCCTGGTGTGAGAGGCGAGGTGAACAAGGTGCATGGACCCGGAGGGGAGAGCCATCAGCCTGCACAGGGGACATCTGTACATGGCCAGCATCAAGCTATCGCTGCTGGTAAGTTGTAGTGATTTACTGTTCAGAGTTCTCAGGGCATGCTGGTATTTGTAGTCCTGCTGGTTAACCGCAAACTGTTTACATTTGGCCTATTTATTGATTGCATTACCCTCACTGAACATATAAGACGGCTGAAATAAAGAGACTGCAAAATTAGAGATATATTTCACATGTGTATTATGTAAGATGCAACATGACTTCTTAAAGCCTAAAGGTGCCCATACACCTTACGATTATCGGACGAAAAGATCGAATAGTCGTACGATTTTCGTACGGCAGCCCCATCCTGCCCCGATGATCGCAAGATTAATTTAGCCGTAATTAACGCAAAGCACCTGGACGAAATGCGGTAATTGATTTGCCGTATTTTCGTTAGCGCAAGCGCAGTGTAGATCGTACGACTTTTGACGGACGGAAACGCCAGCAACCTTACGACAATCGTACGATCTAGCAAAGTTTTCAAACATGCTTGACCGTCAAAAGTCGTACGATTGTACAGTAATGTCGGTCGGACACTGCAATGCACACGTACGATTATCGGACGAAAAGTCGATCGCATACGAAAATTGTCTGATAATCGTAAGGTGTATGGGCACCTTAAGAGCTTGTTCACACCAATTGTGCTGCGTTCCAGAGCGGCGGGAGGGGGCGTGGCTGCCCGTGCAGTGCGAACGGACGCGTGGCAAAACATTGCCTGCGTTTTGCTCCACTGCAAACGCAAAAAATGCTGCATGCTCTGTTTTGCGTTTGCAGTGGACCGGAACGCAAGCAATGTGCCATTGACTTCAATGCACCACCACGCCCCTGGGGCATGGGGGGCCCATACAGGTAGAATTAAAATGTAGTTCCTTGCTCAGGAAGCTACAGGTGCTGTGTACAGCCACCCATAGACATAAGTGGCTTGCGAGACTGTACAGCAGGTATCTACAGGTTCTCTTTTTAAACTCACACATGCCTTTTTAGGCATATGTAGGTATGCACGCATGAGTTTAAAAAGCATAGGCATATAATGTTTGTATAGCCGTGATAGCCATTGATCTCTTAGTGGCTGTACGCAGCACCTGTGGCTTCCCGGGCAGGCAGGCACACCTGCATTTTACATGTACGGTCCCTGTGCACCCGTGTGCATGAGTGCTTAATCGGCTAAATCAAGGGTGGGCAATTCTGGCCCTCCAGCTGTGGTGAAACTACATATCCCATCATGCAGCTGCCCCTGTGAGTCATGCCTGTGGCGGTGAGAATCTTGCAATGCCTCATGGGATTTGTAGTTCCACAACAGCTGGATGGCCGGGGTTAGCGCTACCCTAAGCTAAATGCATTCTAGATGCATTATGACAAAACATGTGCAATATCTTAGAAATGGTTTTCTTTAGAAAGTAGCCACAGCTTGAGTAGAAAAACCTGTTCCCTCAGAGTGCTGCGGAGAAGGTTTCTCACTCCCTGATGTAGAAGCAGTCTTCTCTCTGCAGAGGTCTGACAAACTCCCTACAAAGTCAGAGCTAGAGCTGTCCAATCAGGGGGAACATGTGGTTTGTAGATTTGAGTGTTAGACCTCTGCAGAGAGACCGCTGCTTCCACACACAGAGCAAGGAACCATTTCTGCTGCATGCTTCAAAGATGAACTGTAAGCTTTTGTACACCTTTTTGTTTTGATGCATCTGGAATGTGCTTGGAAAGATATATAAGCCCCAAAACAAAAGTGTGATATATCGTATATGCTCGAGTATAAGCCGTCCCGTCTCCAGGCCACCTAAATTAGGACCCGGAGACTGCCAGATGACCCCGCTCGGAGCGCCGCACACCGGAGCAGCAGTGACGCGACGCTCGGCGAGGTAAGTAAGAAGACGCGCTGGCGCTGACTTGAGTATAAGCCGGGGGGGCACTTTTCAGCCAAAAAAATGGGCTGAAAATCTCGGCTTATACTCGAGTATATACGGTACTGCAGCTTACCAGTCCTTAGATGTGGTGGCTGCATTGGTTTTCATTTTTCAGGATGATTTTCACCATATACATACAATACCTGTTGATCTCGCCAGATTTGCAGTATCCTCGTCACTTCCTGTCAGCTGAACTGGAAGCACAGACAAATGTATCTTCTTTCCTGCGTGCCCAATCACACCATAGCGTTGCGTTAATCACATGATACCGTGCAAATAACGCACACCATCACACAGCACACACCTACCGTGCGCTAGGTGCATCACATTGCCATTAATGTGAATTGGTGCCTGAGTAGTTGGATGCCTTGTTGGAAAAGATTCATACAAAGAATAGTGTCCATACCAAAATACAGATCACTGCCTGCACATCACTAGAATAAACCGCCATATGTTCTTATTTGATGACGCCAAGTTGGAAAACCGGATCCCAACTTTTGTTGTTGTTAGATATCCCCTTACTGCATGTAGAGCTGTACTGGTCAATAGGAAAATGATCTATCTTTAAGTAAAGCAGTCTACCTGTATAATTTGTACCGGTAGCAGGTCTACAACTGTAATCCCTTTAGCAGGGGTCTCAAACTCAATTCACTGGGGGGCCACTCGACAAATTTATTTCTCCCATGGGGGCCGCTTGCCAAATTTCATACTTTATTATAAAAATGTATCTATATCCGGTTTGGTACTACGGACACTAATATAGACACAATAAGGCCCCATTCATATCTCTAGGTTTAGGTGCAATTAGGGATTCCTGTGTCAGAAACGTGCATTTTTCTGCAGCAGAATGCCTACTCTGGTGTTTACAAGTGGCAGCTGTCACCCATTCGAGTTAATGATCAGGTTGCATGTGAACACCGCACACCGCATGTAATGATATGTGATATTATTACATGCAGTTAGAAAACACTCCCTGGATGCACAATCATTGCGTCCTGGGAGAGTGATTGATTTCTGACCAAATGTAATAAAATCGCAGGCGTTTAAATGCAACTGCTGTCACCTGATCATTAACTTGAATGGGTGACAGCTGCTGCTTGTAAACTCCAGATTAGGCATTGTTCCTGATGCTGGAATCCCTAATTGCACCTGAAGATACAGGTGTGAATAGGGCCTAATACACTTCTTCCCCATACACATAAAATAATACCCCCCCACACACAAAAAATACTACCTCTTCACATATATAATAATACACCCCCCATACACATGAAAAATACATTTTATAAATATCTATATATATATATCAGCATTGTAGTAGGAACACATACTAGAGTTGATTTTGATAATGCAATCAAAGCTTATGTGAAAAAAATGTAGTGAGTTCTGCCTTCTGTCTGCCCATCACTTTCATCAACTTCCTGGATTCCCAGTGTGCTGTACAACTCTTTCCCTGTTGCTTGATGTGATGCATGCAGTCTCGATTTCTCAAGACTATATAGCCCAGAATGCATTACTTTCAGCAAGCAATGATGATGTTTCATTGATCAGACATTGAGTTGTAGTTCAGAAGGCAGGTTCTGTGAGAGTTCTCACAGAACACGAGGGAGTGTATATTCACAGGGCTGAGTGGAATGATGTCAGTGCGTTGAGAAAGTATATGCTATGGGCATCCTCAATAAGTAAGTTTACACACTTCTAGATGGATATGGTTATTAGGAGTGGAATAGAACTTATAGAAATTCAATATAGAAATACATATTAGTTTGTTTTTGTTACCATAGATACCCTTAATAAAAACAGTGCTCTGTTTTTTTGTTTTTTAAATATAAGCTGATAAATGCACAAACATGTAAAAAATATATTCTTAATTATTATGGTTTTAATAATGTAACTGTATATGACAATTACACTATTAATCACTAGCATGCTGCCACCTTTGGTTTGCAGTGTCATATGCAGGCTGAAGCCTTATTTTATGAATGTAGCCTCTGGCCTGCATGTGGTCATCACTATGGTTGGTTGCTAGTTGTCAGTGGGGACCAGAGCTGTCATTGGCTGCTTAGTCTGACAAGTAGCAGCCATGCTTCATGCAGAGGACCATTTTATCTACAGATTGCGCTCTGAAAGGGGTTAATTTTAGTAATACATATAACCAACTTCAGACAAAACTTTTTTTTTTTTTCTTAATTATGGCTCGAGTAAGGGAAGGTTCTAATCCTTCTTTACATTTTCCAAATCTGAAAAAAATTGGCTGGAGTTAGGTATAATTAATTAAAGGTGTTAAGATATGGAAAACACTGGAGGGCAATTGCTTACTTGGCTGCACATTACACAGTACATGTAATTTGGGAAATTAAAAATAATGCAGTGGTGTATTTAGTTGTGCTTTCACACCAAAGATCAGTATTGGTCTTCATCTGGTCCATCATTTGATTTTATATGGTTGTGCCGAGCACGCATTTTTTTTTTGCCAACATCCCTTTAAAGGTGGCCATACACTGTACAACCATCGCAAGACCTTAGTCTTGCGATGGTTGTAAAGTAATTAAAAAAACGTAAAGTAATTTAAAAAACGTACGATCTGCCCATCTTGGACAGGCAGATCGTACTCTCGATCATCGCAAGCCCGCCCCCTTGAGGGGCGGGCTTCCGATGACCGCAATGCTGAACGGGCAGTGTGCGCGTGTGCACACCGGCCCGTTCGGCATTTGTCTCCCGAGCACCGTTCTAACCAGCCGAAAATCGTACGATTTTCGGCTGGTTTTCTAGTGTGCTCCTTAGACAAAAGACGTGCGACCGTACAGTAGAAACGGTCGCACGTCTTCGTTCACACTGCTCGATTCTCGTACGATCGCGGGATTTCCCGCGATTCTCGTACGAGAATCGAGCAGTGTATGGGCACCTTTTTATATGGGCTCACTGACCTTTTAGATCATGTCAGGAATGAAAACTTGTTATATCCACAAGATCACCACAAAAGGAGTGAGATGTCCAGTAAATGACAACAGAAAATCTATTCATAGTTTTCTATGTAAAGTCGTACATGGATATATGAACCATCCATACAGCAATGGCGTCAGTTCACAAGTGTGTGAAGCAAGAAATGTTTTTTTGATTTGCTAATTTCAACGGAGACAAGTGAACCTTTGACAAAGAATCTATATTTATTATTAGCTTCCCTTACTAATCTCTTCTTTAACACTCCAGACAAATAAAATCTTACCCTTGCAATAGACTACCTCCACACTGAAAGGGTTAAGTACTAATTTTGCCTAGGGAGATAACATAACAGAGTAAAGGTGGCCATACACTCTACAACCATCGCAAGACTTTAGTCTTGCGATGGTTGTAAAGGGATTAAAAAAACGTACGATCTGCCTATCTTGGACAGGCAGATCGCACTCTCGATCATCGCAAGCCCGCCCCCCTGAGGGGCGGGCTTCCGATGACCGCAATGCTGAACGTGCAGTGTGCGCGTGCGCACACCGGCCCGTTCAGCATTTATCTTCCGAGCACCGTTCTAACCAGCCGAGAATCGTACGATTCCCGGCTGGTTTTTGAACATGCTGGTTCGACAGAAGACGTGCGACCGTACAGTAGAAACGGTCGCACGTCTCCGTTCACACTGCTCGATTATCGTACGAAAAACCGATCGCATACGATTATCGTACGATAATCGTGCAGTGTATGGGCACCTTTAAACTCACATGAACTGTGATGCCAGCTGGCTCCAAGACCGGTCCTTTGAGCCTGTATCTTCCTCCGCTCCAGAGATAGAATGTCCCTCCCGGTCCCACGTCCTATACACTTTCGCCCGATTCTTGAACGAGAATCGAGCAGTGTATGGGCACCTTTAGACGTGATGAGTCACAGGACCTAAGACCACCGGAGAGGAGGGGGAGCAAGGTTGGAAGGACTGGTCGAAGAGCCAGCCGGGATTGTGGTTATTTTAGCTCCCTAGATAAAACGAGCACTTAACCCTTGCAGTGTGGGGGGTAGCCCCTTTGCAAGTATTAAGATTTTATTTGCCTGGAGCTTTTCTTTTAAATGTATGTAATTCGATCTTTTCTTGATTTTTGCCTGACAGCAGTTGTAGATTTTAGCATCAGTCCTGTTGTAAACAGTGCAAAAATGGCAATTGTTAGTAATCCTCGCTCCTCGTTTACAGCGTCACTTAAAGTGACATTAAACCCTCAGATTTTTTAACATAAACCAATACTGTAATGTGCGCCTTACTGTAATCCGTGGTTGTTTCCCTTCTCTTTGCTGCTCTTCATTTTAAATCCTCATGTCTTCTCATGCTTGGGGAGAACTTCCCTTTTCAGCTCAGGGCCTCTTCCCGTAGTGCTGGCTCAGATTACAAGCCTATACAAACCTATACACAGACACCGTGTATCCATTCCTGAGACAAGGCAGTCTGCTGCAAAACAGAAGTTCTGCAGAGCATGAGAACAGATACAGATTTAAAAGGAAGAGCAGCAAAGAGAAGGGAAACTACCCTGGATTACAGTAAGGCACACATTACAGTATTGTTTTATGTTAAAAAATCTGAGGGTTTAATGTCACTTTAAGAACGGATGTGCAATGTTGAAAAGTAATTGGACACATTTTCCATAACCATTTGCTCCTTAAAGTTCCAGAATGACATTGCCTCTTTTTGTGGAACTCTCAATGTAGTGAGGAGCTGGGATTTGGTGCAAACCCAGTTCGCAGTAAAATGCCCCCCTCCTTCTTGCCCAATCGTTTTTAGCAGGGCACTCCCTGCCTCTTCGTGTCTCAACGCTTCAGGGAGGGGAGTATGCCTGCTGCAACTGATTGGGTAGGGAGGGGGGTGTCAGTCACAGTTTTTTTTATTTATTTATTACAGGTATTTGTATAGCCCTGACAATTTACGCAGCGCTTCACATAGTTGCACATTCACATCAGTCTCTGCCCTCAAAGAGCTCACAATCTAAGGTCGCTCACTCATGCACACAGGGCCAATTTAGACAGGAGCCAATTAACTTTCCTGCATGTCTTCGGAGTGTGGGAGGAAACTGGAGTACCCAGAGGAAACCCACAAAAGCATAGGGAGAACATGCAAACTCTTTGCAGATAGTGTCCTGACCAAGATTCAAACCGGGGACCCCCGATGCTGCAAGGCAGAAGTGAAGACCACTATGCAGAAATGTCCCATGTTAAGGTGCCCATACACTGTACGATTCTCGTACTAGAATCGCGGGAAATCCCGCGATCGTACGAGAATCGTACAGTTTATGGAAGGCGTGCAACCGTTTCTACTGTACGGTCGCACGTCTTCCGTCGAACAAGCAGGCTTGAAAACCCGCCGAGAATCGTACGATTCTCGGCGGGTTAGTGGCCTGCTTGTTCGACAACTCCCAAACAGACCGGTGTGCGCACACGCACACTGCCCGTTTGCAGTGATCGGAAGCCCGCCCCTCACGGGGCGGGCTTGCGATGATCGCTAGTACGATCTGCCCGTCCAAGATGGGCAGATCGTACGAGCTTTCAATGAGCTTACGACCATCGCAAGACAAAGGTCTTGCAATGGTCGTAAGGTGTATGGGCACCTTTAGGCTCTGTTCACACAGGCGGTGGGGGTGTCCACCACTGACAATTATAGTGATCCCTGCTGGGGGAGGTTGCGTGTGCACAGTGTGGTGGCATGGCCAGCAGCGGTGGCAGTTTTGAGCGGGCAAACTTGGGTGAACTGTGTTTGCACCAAGCCGCAGATCATCACTACTCAAGTGTACTCAGCAGGGAAACAAGATCCACAGTACATAAACATACTATGTTTCTACCCGCTATAATATATGTTCACCTATCTAAACTCAAAATAAATAATGTCATTGTGGCAAATGTAATGCAGAGAAGGGGAAATGGAATGCTATTATTGATGTACCATTGCAGGTTTAAGACTGCCCATCTCCTTTTCTACAGGGATTCTCCAGATGCACCTAGGGACATCTAGGAGAGACATGCCTCACTCTTAGGCTGGCCACACACCTATCAATTTTTTTGTTCAATTTGCGGGCTGTAACATCCGTGGCCGTACAGTTTTTTCCTTCTTTTTGCGATGGAGGAAAAAACTGAAACTGCCAGACATGTGTCCGTTTACATCAGATTACCCCCGATCCGGCACAATCCGGGCCGTCAAAACGAAACACTGTGCCATCCGTTTATTCGGACCCAGCCGGAGGCAGGGGTAACCGGGTGCCTAAAAAAAACTGACAGGCGGACCCGTTCGGGCCTTAGTCCCCTTTTATTGAAAAACACTTTATTATACAGTATGTGGTTATGTTCTAAGCAGACAGAAAGATACATTGATGCAAGGGTAGGGGTGTGCACCTCTGCTGGAAAAAGAATTGCTACAATACTTGTATTATAGTGCTAAAGAGCATAGAACAAACATTTCCTCGATCGCTGTTCCAAATGTTTTGAGAATTACCTTTTTATCATTCTTTTTTTTTTTTTTTTCTTTTCCAATCTGCAAACAGACAGTAGTGATCAGATTCTAGGAAAACCATCAACACCAGACAAGATGGAGAAAGAGAAGGACCATGGCCCCAGGTAATTAATGAATTAAGATACACCCTGTCGAAGAATTAATTGTAGACATATTGCAAGGTTTCACTTCCAGGTTGAAAAAAATGATGTTACTGCGTTTTACTTGTACTGTGTACTACAGATATAAGAGAATGTCCACTGAATCTGGCTTTTTACATTAAAGGAGAACTATGAGATGAGTGATTTTCACTCACCTCATAGTTCTAGCCGACCTGTGACAATGAGACTGTAACAGGTAGGCTCAGTAGATCGGGAGGTGAGCGAACAGATCCCGGCGTTCGCTCACCTCTCGATCCTGTCACGGCTCTCTGCCGTGACAGGGGAGGGGCTGGATTCCCCTCTCCGATCCGCCAGCCCTGACGGGGAGGGGGTGGGTACAGCTGGCTCTGCCTTTAGATAGGCAGAGCCAGCTGTCAGTCACGCAGCTGGGCGGATCCCGGCACAATTGTCAGGATCCGCTTCAGCTGCGGCGTCTCAGTATACCGCGAGCTACAGCTCACGGTATACTGAGCCTATGGTGACGGGAGGATGCTAGTTTGTGTCCTCCCGTTACCCTAATGAGAACTATGGGGAAAAGACTTAACCCCATAGTTCTCCTTTAAGAACGGTGCATGTTCATGTGTGTGTATTTCCTTTCTTGAAGCGAGAAGATATTCACTTGCCGAACTATTTGGAAGAAAATTGACTAGCATAGATTTTCCCACCTGATTTGATATTTCCCTTGCCTTCATTTATTGGCACATTGGCACATGTGCTATCCAACGCACCCAGAATCCACAGTACCAAAACTTTTTTCTGTGTTTTTGTATTAGTATGCAACCTCTAATTGTTGTCACTTCTGTATTCTTAGGCCTCATTCACACTGCTAAGAGCCGGCCCGTACAGATCCGTGCGGCGTGCATGGCCTATCGGGTCACTTCCGGGAAGGACATGTGCTGCGTGTGATTGTACATAGCAGCACATTCTTCTCTTTGGGAGTACGTGGCTAAACGCTGCCGTACGCTCAACGGAACTGCACATCCGTGTGGGTGTCCGTGCTCGGACGAGGACAGGATCCATCCTGTCTGCCTACGAGTATGGACACCCGCACGGAGGGGCAGCTTGCGTGAGTGTGCGGCCGCATACTCCCATAGAGAAGAATGGGCTCCTGCGTACAATCACACGCAGCAACTGTCCTTCCCGGGTGTAGCCCGATACGGCCGTGCACGCCGCACAAATCTGTACGGGCCAGCTCTTAGCAGTGTGAATAAGGCCTTAGTCTTGTGATGCCTGCAAGACAGTACACAGAGTACCAATAAACTTAAAAAGAACCAGTCTGTATGCAATAAAATTATGAGTGATGCTGAAAGTTGAAGCGTCTTTTGCAAATAAAGAGCTGTTTATAGAAACCCTAATAGTGCCCTTAGGCACTAGAGACTGGTTATTCATGCAGGCATGATCTGATCACCTCAACTTGCCATATTTATATAGATGCACACAGGAGGAGCAAAAAAAATGTAATCTACTTATCAGGGAGGGACAGTTTTGATTGGAACAAGTTTTGTAACTTGCTTGATTTTCTAGTCTCCCATCAATTGCTAGTCCTTATTCTTTTTTCCCAGGTATCTCTGGCTCTGTCACATAACCATCACTCAGAGTCTTCCTTACAGAGGGTAGAGTAGGAGCAGTCTAAAAAGAAACATTTGCCTAGGCACAATCTGACTGTCCTCCAATGTCTGTGGTCAGCTTTAGCTATGAAACTTGCCCCATATGATATAAGTCTTTTATATTGGTTCAGCTAGATCAACAGTGTTGCTAAAGGAAACCACAAATTGGGCCAGGCAAGCAATCTTATTCTGACTCCGATCGTTGTGATAGCGAAATATATCCCTTGCTGAGACCTCTATGCCTGGCCTGTATAAGCAGATATACTCACTGCGGACAATCCTCGTCAGATAGCTGAACTCGTCAATACCGATTCATTCAAAAGAGGTGTTTATTCTTTAACATCAGGTTACAGCAGATGATAGGAACAGCAGTTGAACGGTTATAGTATAGAAAATGATGCCTTTCCTCCGTACTGTGCAGATTACCTGTGTGTCCTTGTTACATGTGGCTTTCAACTGTGGCCATGACACAGGAAGTACTGCACACAGGAAGAAGGGTGGGGCTACATACAGAGAGGAAATACATCGTAGACATCACAAAGAATCACGGAAAAACATGTACATTACAACAAAAGGCCACTAGATGGCAGCATAGGATAACACATGAATTTAGCTATGAGAAAATAGTTAGGCAAATCACACTATATAAATTCTAACCTATATAACAATGCTAATATTAACTGAGGCTATGCATCTCATATTCTATGCCCCTATTGGGGCGGCACAAATCTGTTATACATTTGTTGCACATCATAGTCTTCGGGGCAATTTTTTTGATAGGATGCCACAGATTGTTATTAACTAAAATTTAGTATGTATCCTGATTGTGTGTTTGTTTTATTTGTATGTTTTATTTGATGAAAAATGTATATTTATGGCATGCAACTAAGATCTATACAATTCTTTTCTGGTATTGTAACTGTTTTAGGTTAACCAAAAAGTATTTGCGAGATCTATGCAAGCAGCACAAGCTATACACAACGCCATATTTAAATGACACACTATATTTACATTATAAAGGTATGTAATATAATTAAAGTTATAAAATATTTCTGAAAACATGTTTTGACAACTTTTTATATCATTTATTTTAAGTAGTACAATAGTAAAGAAAAGACCTGGTGTGAACCCAGTTCGCCCAAGCCTGCTCAATACTCTTACTGCCAACCACTCCTCCTGACCCAATCCATCGTGAAATGGTGCATTTCCCACTATTCCGCTGTAGATCAGAGGACAATTGCCAACACTGATTGGGTGAACTGAGGCAAACTACATTCACACCATCTTTAGATAGAAAAAAAAAAGTATGCTGTGTGAATAGAAACACATAGAAAAAAATAAGAAAACTCCTCTATGTTTGTTCTCAATTAAACTGTAAACATGGAACAAAATGGTCACATCTAGTTGGATCTCAAGGACTGATTGATATGTTGTAAATGGTAATATTCAGAAGTAGGAGTAATAGTTTATCTCATATGGTGTGTAAAGTACACAATTAGTTAAAATCTAGTAAGGTTCAAGTGTTTTAGTATGATACATTTACACCAATGAAAACCAGTAGATGGAGAGTGTGTTGGAATTTTGGGGGGTTTCCAGAAATGATTGTGTCAGGGCTCGACCTATTGGATTTTGTAATTGTAAGAAAGTAATAATAAAGGGAGATTTGTAAGACATTTGTAATATAGAGGAAATCTGACTATCATAAATCCAATTAAAATTGTGCTGTCAATAGTGTTGGGACTGAGATAGGTGTTGGCTGATTAATCTCACTAAAATAGTCTCTTGCTACTTTATAGTACTCTTTATATTAAGTACAAAAAGTCATCCATTGTGCCTTTTGTATGCAAAATCTTTCTATTCTTTTTAGTAGTGGTTATACTATTTAAATGAAAGCATACCTTAGATCTCAACAATGGCGCCCCAAACGGGCCTCCTACCCACCGTGTGATCGCCCGCACTGAAGCGCATGGTACAGCAATGCCGTGCATTTCAGTGCAGTGCGATTGCAAAAAATTGTACATGCAGTTTTATTCTGAAGTAAACTTTTTGTGTTTTGTATATTTTATTTTACATTAAAGATGGTATTTATTTCGTTTTAATCTATTAATAGAGAAAAAAATAATCAGCCAGCTAACAGATTATGAAAATAATCATTTGTTGCAGCCCTACTACAAGCTGACTCCCGATACACATGGATGTACTCACCGCCATGTGTGACCTTTTTCTGGGTTTGAACCCTTCTCTTCAGAGCCACTAGATTGTTAAGGGTTACACCATTTTGCACATTGTTCCTGTTTTGTGTAAATAAGGTCAGCTATTAGTATTGCAAAACTGACTTGACCTTAAAAGTAATGGTCAAAAAAGCAATTGTAGTGTTTTTAAAAAACTTTATTTGGAGGAATATTGAAGCAGGAGTCAAATAAAATCCCAAACATACAAGCGGATTAAATATAAAAGCCATTAAGTAGGCATTGTTTGATCGATATCTGTTTTACGCTTGCTGTCCTTACTCATCTCTTGCTTGTAAAGGTGGCCATACACTCTACAACCATCGCAAGACTTTAGTCTTGCGATGGTTGTAAAGGGATTAAAAAAACGTACGATCTGCCTATCTTGGACAGGCAGATCGCACTCTCGATCATCGCAAGCCCGCCCCCCTGAGAGGCGGGCTTCCGATGACCGCAATGCTGAACGGGCAGTGTGCGCGTGCGCACACCGGCCCGATCAGCATTTATCTTCCGAGCACCGCCCTAACCAGCCGAGAATCGTACGATTCCCGGCTGGTTTTCGAGCATGTTGGTTCGACAGAAGACGTGCGACCGTACAGTAGAAACGGTCGCACGTCTCCGTTCACACTGCTCGATTATCGTACGAAAAACCGATCGCATACGATTATCGTACGATAATCGTGCAGTGTATGGGCACCTTAAAGCTAGTTTACATGCCTAACCTTTTGGACTGCAGCCTATTTAGCTGCTTTGGGTTAGAGCATTGTGACATCTGTACAATCTAGTTAATTCTAATAAATGCTTTAATGAAACACACTTTAATGTTTCATTTAAGCAGGCTAACGCTTTAAAATGCAGCTCTGGCTGTAAAGCTCAGCATGTCTTCAGTGCTCCCTCCCTCAAAGATTCACCACTCTGAGGTCCAGCCCCGGTCCTCTTCTTCATTGATTAACAGCCAGGGTCAATTACCCCACTTCCTGGGATTGCAGGGTGTCATAGACCGACCCCTGGGAGGTGTGTCACCATGGCACCCTTCATTTACTGTGCAGTGCTGCTGGCATCATTATGTCAGAGTACTCTTTACATTGGTAACTGCCAAGGGAAGAGAATCCTGTGAACCCATCGTGATCAGCCCCATTATATGAAGTTCACATCACAAGACAATGGAAATAAGGGAGGCTAGAATTGGGCATTAAGCCAATTATTATGTATTGTTCTTCCCGAAAGGCAGACTGGAGTAAATGTATATATTTCTTTGTTACAACACTGCATTTTGTCATTTTCTATTGCAGTTTTATTTGAAAACCTTTTTTTTCCTTTGTTGTTTTTAAGGATTTATGCGGATTGAGAATCTTGAGGAATATACGGGCTTAAAATGTCTATGGCTGGAATGTAATGGTCTGCAGAAGATAGAGAATCTGGATGCTCAGATAGAGTTGTGTTGCCTCTTCTTGCACCAGAACCTTATCAATAAAATTGAGAATCTTGAGCACTTGAAGAAACTTGACTCACTTAATCTCTCGAACAACCACATCAGAACAATAGAAAACCTGTGTAAGTAACCAAGTAAAAAAATAAAGGCCATAATCTAGCAAATTAAATATTTGAAAATGTTTGGTGCCTCGACCGCCAATTATTCTCAATAGGCTGCCTTATCGCTATACATGTTAATTTGTGCCATAGAGTTAACGTACTGCAATTGTGAAAATTGGCTGTCAAAGTTCCCATCACATGATTTGCAGAAAACCTCCTTTTTTTGCAAGCTGCACCTGGTGAGAGTAGAGGAGCTGTGGCGGAAGGCCACATTTGGGTCATGTAGCTACCAGCTGATTACTGCATTTCCCTCAATCCAAGTGGCTGTAAAAAAAACATTAATTTGTTACAGCTTCAGCTGTATTTACATTGTTTACATCTGCAAACCTGTGAAACAATATCCGGAGTGGGAAAGTGTCATCTTGTGGGCTGCATTAGCATACAGACCACTGCTGGTAAGGTTCAATGATGCCTTGATGACAACACCCCACTCAAGTGCTGAGGACTAGTGGTGGGCGTGTTCGCAGCTCCACGTGCCGAGCCCGCCAGGAAGCTGACAGCTCGCAGCGCCAATCACAGGCACTGAGACATTTCCCGATCTCTGCAGCTGCAGACCGGCTTCCTGGCGGGCTCGGCACGTGGAGCTGCGAACAAGCCAAGCCCATCACTACTGAGGACTATAGTGCATGATACAGGAGCTGCTGCCGTGGTAGCTGACTCCGTTTTCATGGTCTCACCTGCAAGGGGAAGGGAACGTTGTAAACTAAATTTCCCAGACAGACACTGCACATGGTTATGCAACTTAAAAATGTGAAGCTTGAGTTGGCTTTTAAATCTTTTGGGGTATTCAGGGGCTGACCATGTGTGTACTTACCCTCTTGATAAATCTGACTTTCTGTTCATTATTGGACGACCAATTGTCACCTGATTCTTAAACACCTCCTGGACAAATACATTTATTAGACAGTATAATATGAAGATACTTGCTCAAGCATCTTATGATATGGGGTGACCATGAAATGTCCCCTTTGCTTTTTGTGCTCCCGCATTAGTCCAGAAATAGCCACACACTGCTAACTTCAGCAAACACTTAGTTGTAGATTTGAATAATCTAAGCTCATAGGGGTGAAATGCATAAGAGCTGGGTGATCACTAGGCAGGACCCACACTTTGCTGGCTGTTGGATTTTAATAAACTAGATGTTTGGTGAAGTTAGTGATCTGCGACTATCTCTGGGTTAAGGTGATTGTGGAGTGAGTGTGCAGCAAAGATAGAGTCTGGACGGATCAGTGAAAGTCACATACGTTCACAACGAAGACTAGAAGTGGCCATGCCACACTGTCAGACATGTTCTGCCTGACCTGTGCAATGACATACCATCAATACTGGAGTAAGTGATTGTACAGTAGAAAGAAAGTGGCTGCCAGTTATGGTTTAGGTCTACTTTAAGCACAATGAATGCAGGCATTGTTTAGGATGAAGGTAAACCTATGGAAACTTCGAATGCAGGTTGGTTACACTTGATCATTAAAATATTTGAAATGTTAGAATTTATGAGCCTAATTGTATTTCTATTGCAGCGTGTCTCCCAGCTCTGTCAACCTTGCAGATTGCACACAACCATTTACAAACAGTGGAAGATGTACAGCACCTTGAGGAATGCCAAAGTATCAGCATCCTGGATCTATCCCATAATAAGCTAGATGACCCAGCTGTGATTGATGTCCTTGAGAAAATGCCAAACCTGGTATGAATATACATTCCTTCAGAGTTTCTGTTGCATCTGAATAGCATTGTTGGCACATATGCACACTACATTGGATTGCACTTATATTATTGCATGTTCTGAAACTTGCTAACATATTAATACAGCATTAAAGTCAACCTGTCGGGGGAAAATACTGCAAAACAGGTGCCCTGGAAAGAAGACTCTGTGCTGTCACCTCTGCACCGGCCCAAGTGTCCTACTTTCCCTCTGATCCAGCACCTACTAGTGTCTTCTCCATTCAACACTCCTGTGTATGTCCAATGCCTGTGAAACTTGCCAAATGCTTATTCCAACCCCTACATCACTTCTGGACTCCTGATAAGGCTGTGATCACCACATGCCCTAACCACCCATTCTACACAAAGTCAAACATTTGTGATGCACCTAGATGAGTATTGCTCACACTGTAACGACCACAGGAGTCAATACTGACAATTTATTGTACTGACAGAATGCAAGTTTCCATTTAGACCAATCAAAGCATTTTAGTGTTAGCAGAACTACTCCTGAAAGGTTTGGATATTAACCACTTAAAGACCAGAGTGTTTCACCCCCTTCCTGTCCCGGCCATATTTCAGTATTCAGCGCTGCAGTATTTTGACTGACATTTATTCCGTCATGCTATGCTGTACTAAATCCAATTTTATATCATTTTTTGGGGACAGATGGAGCTTTCTTTTGGTGGTATTTAATCACCCCTGGGGTTTTTTTTTTAACTATATAACAAAAAAGTACCCTAAATTTTGAAAAAATAAATGTTTCCCTATGAAATGTAATGAAACTTTTATTATCACCCCAATTTTGGGGTAAAATATAAAAGACGGGGTCACGCCAGGTAAATAGACACCAAACACGTCAAGCCTTAAAATTGCACGCGCCAGCGAAATCACAGAAAACAACCACCCCCAAAATTGGCCATAGGCGACGCTTTTACTGCTCATCAGTACTTAATGGCCCTAAAAGTATTGCTCTCATTCCGACGTTCGCAGTGATATGTAACGTGTGGCACGGTGCACGGTGGCGCACCCTATGCATGTTTGTGTGTGTCTTCAGGGAAGCCTATCCCACCACAACCTAACCACTGAACAATCACTTTCTCAAACAATCATCCCCGTGCAGCTACCTCCTCATGTATCACGTGTCCCTCCTGTATAATAATAATGTGGGGGGCCAGGGGATTTTTTTTTTTTAAATTGTGACTATTATTTTTTTATGCTTTAATTTTGTTAAAACTTTTTTTTTTTTTTTTTTTTTTACACTTAACTGTATTGCGATCACATAGGTGACTAAGAAGCCCCCTATGTGATAGCCAATTCACATAACAGGTCCTCTTTATGTAGACATCTGGGGTCTCCAAGACCCCTAATGTCACCTAGGGACCCCCAGAGAAGCTGATGAAGCAGAGATCTGGTTCAGCAGCTTCTCACCGGCTTCTGTTGCTGGAGAGTGACACTGAATGCGTAAGTGATGTAATAGTGATGCATCACTTCCTGCATTCGGGGACCAGAGAGGAGATCAAAAGAAGATTGTGTACTGATCGCCCTTTGATTTCCACTGACAGAGTCGCCGTGCCGGTCCCAGCCGCACCGGGCACAGATGATCTCGGGACCGGCGGCGGGGGCGCACACCCGCACCTACTACAAGCGATTGGGTGTCTTTAGAGATATTGCACTGCTTAGTGCGATTTGGTGGTCTCACCTAGATATGTCCACTGGCTTCTGAGCAGCCACACACACAGCTTTGTGTCTCTCTCAGCTCTCAACTCCTCTCTCTAACCTGTGTTACCTTTTTAACACGAAGGGCTGTAGGGGAAGTATCTGCCCTCCCAAGTTAACCCCTTTTTAGCTCTCAGCCATGCTGACTCTCCACAATCTACATAAATACTTAAGTGGTAACTCTCTGCTATTAAGTAAAATTGACACAGACAAGCCCAAATGATGCATATGTGTTTGTCTATGTTTCTACTAACCGTGTGTACACTACATAACAAGTTGCATCTTTTCACACATGTTCGAACTATAACTTGTGTTTCTATTTTTATATAGCACGTCTTGAACCTGATGGGAAATGAACTCATTAAGAAGATTCCCAATTATAGAAAAATAGTGACTGTCCGTCTAAAAGGGCTAACTTACCTGGACGATAGGCCCGTGTTTCCGAAAGACAGGTAGAAACGCTGTACCTACATTTTTACTTATCTGTCATAATCTGCTACCTTGTTAGTTATTTATTTCCATGTTGAATGGTCATTATTTCTTTCCCTGAAATATAAAGAATTCCCAGTAATCTGAATTTATTGTACATCTATAACATAGAAACATATTGTACACATTTGTTTAATACATAATGATTGCCCTGCATTAACATTTTGGCTTAATGCAGACCTTGCATGAACATGCAAGGTCCCACTATTTACAGGCCCTCATCCTTTCATGCAAAGTGACACTAAAGCTGGCCATACACCTATCGATTCTCTGCAGATTTTCTATGGTCAGATGGAAAAGGTGCAACAGATTCCTCCATCTACGCTAACCTGTGTGAATAGAGGAAACTGACCATAGAAAATCGCAGAAAATCTATAGGTGTGGATGGAGAAAATGTAACAGATTCCTCCATCTATGCTAAACTGTGTGGATCCAATCAGATTGTTCAGGTGTTTGAGAGCCAGCGGGGCTGACTAGCAAGATACTGAAGCTTGGCCCAGTGGGAGATTCCTCCATCCACACCTATAGATTTTCTGCGATTTTTCTATGGTCAGATGAAGAAAGTGTAACAGATTCCTCCATCTATGCTAAACTGTGTGGATCCAATCAGATTGTTCAGGTGTTTGAGAGCCAGCGGGGCTGACTAGCAAGATACTGAAGCTTGGCCCAGTGGGAGATTCTTCCATCCACACAGTTTAGCGTAGATGGAGGAATCTGTTGCACTTTTTCTATCTGACCATAGAAAATCTGCAGATAATCTATAGGTGTATGGCCAGCTTTAGGCATGAATGACATCACTTAGCTTCATCATGGCCACCTGGGAAAGGGGGAATTGTGCTGGATTGCATTTTACAAGGTTTGGCATCTCCAGCTTTCCCAGGATCTCACGGGAAGACCCATAGGTGAAGTGGCCAGAAGCTGAGGTCTGAGGTAAGTATTTTTTACTTGTTTCTCTTTCTATAGACATTCCTTAGTGTTTTTGCATGGAGTTTGGAGACTTGTAAAATACTTGTGTATATTTTTGGAAAGTTCCACTTTATTTTAATAGAGTGAATGGCAGTGGGTTGAGATGTCTACCTGCTCCTTATTATTTCTAGGCAACTCTGGTGTCAAGAACTTAGGTTCCCAGCCACACTCTTCTTCCTCAGTTGATGTTTTGCTCTCAGTGCTGAGTTCAAATTCTGATTTTAGAGTACTTAGAAGGCAACAACAATCGTGAGTAAACTTGACTGGCCTTGAAAAGGCTGCGTACAGGCAGGAGAGGAAGAAAAGTGGTGTTGTTATCCTCAAGAAATATATAGTCAGTGGGTGATTCACTGTTGCCTCCCTTAAACTTAGATATCAGCTTAGGCGCACTAAGCTTTTAAGGGCAACGTTTTGGCTTGCGACTCAAACAGAGAAGTGCTCCTGTCGCATCACCTACCCCTCTTCACTACTTGCCCATTCACAAAATTCCTCCAATCACAGAACACTTTGTATCCTTTTGAGGAAAATACAAGGCATTTTGTGAATGGGCATTAGTGAGGATGCGACTGGAGCACTTCACTGCTCGAGTTGCATCCCTCACTCCCTTCAGTGGATGCCAAGTGTTATGGGTAGGAGCTGACATGCTGCATGGTAAGATTTTTATACTTTGCAGCAGCCCTCCACACATAATACACAGGTTTATAATGATAATTTACACAGCAGGTATGGTGTTTAAATGATAATTGTTCCCCCAGAGTTTGGCTTTAATTTAGTTGTAAAATAGGGAAATTGGTGTCTCTTTGTCTTATGCAAAAAAAAAACAACAACTCGACTTATGTGTCCCTGTAGAGCATGTGCAGAGGCCTGGACCAGAGGAGGAAGAGAGGCTGAGGCAGAGGAAAGAGAAAGGTGGGAGACCAGAGAGAGAAAGAAGATCCAAGACAGTATTGATGCTTTATCTGAAATCAAAAGGAGAGCTGAAGAAAAAATGAAAAGAAAAGAGACTGAAGAGAAAGGTAAGGCGGTGAATGAAATGTGTCACTGTGTATATAACTTCATTTAGATGGAATATCCGCTGATCGCCTATATGTGAAACACCCGGTAACGGGTGTGTGCATTGATCGGGTCTTTTCTGCCTGTGCGTGCCCGCTAGGGGGCGCTCGCGGGCAGAAAAAAATTGCCGTCGGACGGACGGCAAGAACGGACGGCAAGAGGTTAATTTTATTTTTAGTCAAATAAATATGTAAATTCTGAATTGAAACATGAATTGAACGCACAAAGTTGGCCATTTCCCAAATTCTAGTCAGTGTAACACAGAGAGGTTTCTATCCTATAGCCCACTATGTTTGGATTATGGATTGTTAGTGCATTCATATATAAATACAAGCCAGAAATATTTAGTTGTCAAACAACAAGTTAAAGAGTAATATTTTCTGGTGTCAGTAGGTTTGATACTTGTTCTGACTTCTTTAAACTTGTTCTGACCTACTGTTTAGGTGAAATTCACCAAGACATCACTGTGCCTTGTGAGGAGTACATAAACCATTGCAGGAATGAAGAACCTCGGGAAAAGATCCACAAGTTTGTTGAAGAGGCTATGGATGCCTGTGATGAGTTGTACCCTGACACAGACATCAAGGAAACACTTCTTCCCAAGAGCCCACATATACAGTTCATGGACGCAGACAAGAAGACACAGGATGATGTCTCCGGCCAAAGGAATTCAGAATCCCCATCAATGGTACCATCGGACAATCCTAACAATAAAGACAAATTGTTGTCTCAGGAGACGCATTCAGCAAAGAACAATATAAATGCAAACCTGGGTAACTTTAATGGTCTTTATTATGAAATACATTTTTGAATAATTTCTTGTCTGTGATTCATTTAATATGTATATTATATGGTAACCATTGCTGTTATGCTTCTTTTTGAGATAAAAATCCACTGATCCCTTTAGTCTTAGCAGGTCAAATATATCTAGTATACATATTTACTGAAATCCCAGGCAGGATAAGTACAACTTTGTCATTTAATGCCCACCTTCACCCTACTATCATCCTATTTTACTAATATACCATGTGGCCAAAATGTGTGGACACTGGATTATCACTTTGTCCACATACTTTAGGTCTTATGCTGCAAGTTTTTTGTGTTCAGGTGTTTCCAGGGAAAGCTATTGTTAATGCTACAGCATACAACACATTTAGGGCCCATTCACACCACATCCAGGTCATCTCCAGACAAGACCAGATTGTTCCCGGCCCCAAAATGCATCCTAATGTATCCCTATGCTATTTCTGGCCTCTGTTCACACCAGCACAGTCCACAGACCAGAAAAATACTGCATGTCTCATTTTGTCTGGTCTGAAATGCACTGGAACTGCGGGCAGGTTAACACCATTTTTCGGACTAGATCTGGTCCGGAAAATGGTGTGAACCTGCCTTAATCAGTTGTTAACATCCTACTCAAAACTGTTTCCAAAAGGTTGGAAGATATCTGTATTCGCATGACTGTGCCCTTCTGGACAGAGTCGGGTCCACAAAGAAAAAAAGAACTTGAGTGGCTTGCACATATCTCTGACTTCGCCTCTTCCAAACACCTATGGTGTGAATTGCAATGCCAATTGTGAACAAGCTTATTATGTCCAACATCAGTATCTCATCTCACAAATGCTCATTTTGCTGAATAGGCATACACACACACCACAATTCTGTGGCATTAACAGCCACTGGAGGCCGTTGTGGGTGAACTCCATGCCATGACTTGGGGAATGTCTCCAAAGGTTCGCACATATAGTGTACATTTTAGTGGACTTCTCTTTAAACTGCACATCTATGCCAAGACTTGTATAACCAGTTTAAGCTTTCAAAATGGGCCACAGGTCAATGCATATGTGCTCCCTAAGGAAGCAAATCCATTTTAACAGTGCATAATTCACAAGTTTAGTATCATCCACTCTGAGTAACGTCATTTGATTTAACTGAATCAAGCTTTGTTCATAGCTTCCTACGAAGACATGAACATAGAAGGCTCCTTGACTACTATGCTTGTTGATGCTGAAGATATTGAAACACTGCCCCTGAAAGTTACAGAAAAGCTCTACCTTGATGTAAGTATGGATGAATTTATGTTGTTTGTTTTTTTCTGCATTATATAAAACATGATTCCCTAGGCTGTTTTTATACTGTTATTACAGTGGTACCTCGGTTCACAAACTTAATTTGTTCCATGATTCTGATTGCGAACCAAATTGGTTGCGAACCGAATCAAATTACCCCATAAGGTTCAATGCAATACATAATACTGTACAGTATTGTATGTGCTAAAAAGCACACACAAAAGCTTCACAGCAAGTGTGCACAGGTCTGTCTGCGACCGCAATCTCGTCTAGAGGAAGCCACAACCATGTGGCAGAGTGGGGAAGATGGCCGCGGTCGTGTTTCTCACCCGATGTGGAGTTTGCGAACAGAAGCAACATTTTGCTGAACTTTCTGTCTGTGAACTGAATTGTTCGCGAACAGAAGCATTCGTGAACCGAGGTATTACCGTATTTTCAACAGCCGACACTCATCGTAATGTTGTTGTTTTCTTGTGTAATTACAAAAATCGCATGGCATAATAATCAACTGTACAAAAACATAATCAGTTCTACAAACTGTGCAGTAAACACTTTTTGTCTTACAAATGTTATTGCTCAGAGGCATTGGGCTTGATTTACTAAAGGCAAATATGATGTTCACTTTTCCATGGATTTTTCCTTTAGCTTAGTGAATATGGTGAAAATTAACTTTGCAAAGAATGCCCGATCGCATGCAAGGGAAATTTAAAAAACAATATTTGTGCATGCACATGATTGCATAGTGGAAGTCTGCAGAACTTCATCTCATTCATTAAGCTAAGCGGAAACTTCCAGTTGCAAAGAAAAATAGCCTATTTGGCTTTAGTAAATCAATCGCGCTGATATGTAGAGAAGCGGCAAATGTAGTAAGCGCACTACTCTGATGGTGAGAGGTGCGTTTACGTGACTAATGGGAGGGGGCATGCTGCCTCCTTGACCAGGGAGAGGGATCCTGCGTGTACACTGAAAAGAAACTGGATAGGGAAGCGCTACAGCCCTATTAGGTATACATAAAAACACAAGTATAATTGACCACAATTGGATACAAGGGGAAATGGATGAGGTGACTCACTGTTTGCTGATTCGTTGGTGATTTGTGGGAGAGGCGTTGCCCTGTCAAAGGCGAAACCTATCAGGAATCTGAGATCAATGGGGAATTTGTCACCATCTGGGGCTGATGCAGGCTTGGATGTGACTGTAGAGAAACGCCAGGACTCAGCTTGCAAGGCTGTGCCCTGCGGTTCCAGTAAGAGTAAGGTGGGGGAAGCTGCTGAGTCTCACACGCCGTGTCTCACTGTGTTCAGCTGTCAGTGTGAGGCGGCGTTGAGTGGTGGTGTGACGTCAGTCAGGGGCTGGAAGAGTACTGTCCAATGGCTATGCGTTTCGAGGCCGGTGCCTCTTTCTCAAGCCGAAGTAGGGAGTCAAGAGCGGGCAGGAATCCTAGAAGCTCATTTAAATGTGTCCAGTGGGCGGAGCCGAAAGTCATACGAACATTCGGTTGGCGGATCGGGGTGGGGGGGAGGGGGGTTGCGTGTGTGGCTTTCAGCTGGTGTTTGTGAGACCGCTCATCAGGGGACAGAACTAAATGGGTTAATGTGGCTTATCACTTCATGATGGCAGATAGTAACATATCGTTTATAAAAAGGGATAGAGGGAAGCTGCATGCCTGGTCCATGCATTCTGTATTGAAAAGGATTCCTATGGTTCTTGTTAAAAGAAATTGATAAAATGTTTGTATATAGGCATGTTTGTGAATGAATAAAAAATACAAATGGGACGCAAAAGAGTACAAAAAAAGGGGGTGGATCTAAGTACGTACAGTATAGGTAAAATATACAAAATACTTGTGAATAAAAAATGTTTTGTAAACAAGTTTTTAATAATAATAATTATTTAAATGAGAATAACAATAAAATAGTCCTTTGGCAGAACTAAGGTTTTGACATTGTTCTAGATATATGTTTATATCTATATGCACACGCATAACGTGGTATGATTATGGTGGAGCCCATTTATTTATATGGAATGATAAAAACGTAATGGAGGTCAGTCAATCACATACACTATGTGACTTCTACTTATAAAATGGTATGTATTTCGATCTCCTCGTTTAGACCGGTAGGTACTAGCGTATTTAATTTGTAGATCCAAAAGGTTTCTCTCTTGCACAACAGGCGAAACCTTTTCGGATGGTGCTAGTTGAGTCGATATGTGTTCTATGGCGTAAACGTGCAATGCTCGTGTGTTTTTCTAGTGCTTCATAGTAAAATGTTGGGGGACACTATGTTCTGTGTCGCCCTTCTCAATAAGGCGTCTGTGCTCACTGATTCTTTTCCGCAAGGGGCGCATAGTGCGTCCGACATAGATTAAACCACATGGACATGTGAGTCCGTATATCACGTGATCGTGGACACAAGTGATGAATTGGTTGATCTTGTAAATATTGTGTAAATTATCATTGAACTCGCTCTGTCCGTGGTGGATGAATTGACACGTTAAGCATTAGGGGTTTTTGCACCTAAAAACACCAACTCTGTTATCGAACAGAATTTTTTTTGGGATGCTTTTAAGTTGTTTCTGTAATTTGCTGGGCGCTACAAGGTTCCTGATGTTTTTGTTTTTCGGAAATTAATGGGAGGTTTTGGAGGCAGCAGTGGGCCTAGTTTAGGATCCTTCAAGAGGATATGCCAATTTTTGTAGAGCACTCTCTGAATGGCTTTACTTGTTCTTAAAAGTGGTGATGAACCTAGTGTTGTTATTTTGACTTTGAAGTCGGTCTTCCTTGGCATTATTGGGTTCATCTGATGTGAGGTATTGTGTATAAGCCTCCGTGATGAGGTCTGCGGGTTAGGATTTTTCAGAATTTTTTTTTGAAAGTAGACGGCTCGAGGTGGTGTAGTCAGAATTATTAGTGCAATTTCTTTTCAAGCGGCAGAATTGGCTCCTTGGTATGTTATTCTTCCACCTCGGATGGTGGCAGCTGTGATAGTGGAGGTACGAGTTACCACCAGAAGGCTTAACGTGGCTTTTGGGTAATGATGTTATTCTCGACGGTGGTGAGTTCTAAATCGAGGAAGATCAACTCGGTGGGGCTGACAACGTGGGTAAAGGAGAGGCCTAGGTTGTTCTTATTGCAATGGGATACGAATTCTGTAACTGTGTCAGGGGGGCCATCCCAGATGATGACTATATCGTCTATATACCTCCCATAGTAAACTATCCTACTGGCGTATGGGTTGTTCTCCCAGATATTGAATGTTTCCCAATACCCCATAGTTAAATTGGCGTAACTCGGGGCATAATTAGCTCCCACGGCAGTCCCTTTTGATCTGCAAATATAATTTATCTAAGAAGGAAAAGTAGTTGTGATTCAATGTGAACTCCTTTGAGTGTAGTTGAGGGATGAGTTTAGAAGAAAAAACAGGAGGGCATTTAAACCAACAGAATGAGGGATAGAGGTGTATAATGAACACACATCTAAGTATAACCAGCAATATGTAGACTGCCACTCATACGTGGATAAAGTTTGGATGAGATGGCCGGAATCTTTTATATATGAGGGTAGGGCTGTAACTATTGGCTGGAGAAATTGGTCTATGTAAATTGACAGGCCACTGGTGAGGCTATTGGTGCTGGCTATAATTGGACGTCCGGGAGGGTTGGTACTGTCTTTGTGTATTTTTGGCAGATGATAGAAATAGGGAGTGTTGGGAAATTTTGGTTGTAGGAAAGCTTTTTCTTTTTTGGAAATGATACCTTTGGTAAATGCCGGTTTCATGAGAGTATCAAGCTCTTTTTTGAAATCCTCCAATGGGTCTTGTGGGAGGTGTCTATATGTAGATGGATCAGAGAGAAGCCTGCATGCGTCTTTGGTACAGTCACAGCGCTTCTGAATAACCATACCTCCTCCTTTATCAGCCTGTTTGATGATGTCTTTATTATCAATCAATTCTTTTAAGGGCTTTCTGTTTGCCGGGGGTTAGATTGAGAATGTGTATTGCTTTGGAGCATACCGCGCTGAGTTAGATGCTTTTTCATGGACCTATATATAAAGCCATAGCTGAACCTGTGATCATATAAAATCACATCTCAGTATAACTAAATACTCTACTGAAGTAAAGTTATTATGAATTATCTATTTATAATTTAGGATTTGCCTGATTTGGAGGATGTGGAAGTTGATGAACCCTCTGAACATCTACAAAATAACATTGGACATAACAAGGTATACACCTCAGCTGTTCTAGTAATGATTAACTTTTTTTTTACTATGTAAAATTCTAAAAAATGATTTAGGTGTGCTAATTAGTTATTGTCAAGTTAACTTTGCTGACGCTGCAAAAATCCACCTGGGAATCTAGACATCAATGGCCTCTGGGCACGAAAGGATTATTTAATGGCATTGACTGGTTAGCTTATGCAAGCACATAATTGCTTCATCTTTTATTCATGGCCCTCCCCTGGATCTCTCGAAGGGCCCGTCTCGATGTGCTTTGGTTCGCATTACACAGATTTTGCGTTCCCATGCAATTCTATGGGAAAGCAAAACCTGCTTGAAGCAGGTCCAATGCAGGTTAGAAGTAAGTCTGATGCCATTGACATAAACCCAAAGCCCTTTGTCATGGGTGCTTAGATGAGTAGTTATCATCTGGTGATTGCACATCAAGTCCACAAAGCCACAGAAAATGGCTTTTACCAAGAGCAACTATGTCTTCCCTATCATGATTGTTAGGACACTATGAACCTAGAAGTGTTCAGATTTGGCATTATTTTAATTAAAAAATATAGTTGTAACAGGCACTTTGAGGGGATCCTATGTACAGCAAACCACGGATCTCCATGTTAAAGAAATGGATGATTTGGGGGAACTTTAGTGAATATCAAAGTCTGTATTGGATGTTTTATTGACACACTGGAAAATGTCAAACAATTGTGAAAAAGAGAAAGCTACATAAATAATACTTCATGTTTTGCTAGGTTTTAGTGACTTTAATCAATTTCTGTATTTGCAATGAGGTCTCGCCCTCAACGCTGACACAAAGTACGATTATTTTTGAATAAACTTAGAGATATTACTACAAATATTCTACAATATAGGCTCTCAAGACACTTTGCTATGTACCATAATATTATATATGGACTAAGCTTAAATCTGTCATATTATTTTAATTATTATTATGTATCTGCATCCAAGGACGGCACAGCTGGCTTCAGAAACCTGGCAACTGTTGATACAGAGATGGGAAACCATGATGTTAAATGGGTTTTAGGCATGGTTCACACCATTTTCCGGACCAGATCTGGAACATATGCATTGCATTTTTGCCGTGTTTTTACCGCAATTTGAATTTTTTTTAAAGCTTAAAATGGTCTTACAGGTGTGTTCCAGTGCCTTCCATGTGTTTTTTATGCGTTCCAGACTGCGCTGGTGGGAACAGAGGCCAGAAATAGCATAGGAATGCATTGGGATGCATTTTGGGTCTGGAAACAGTCTGGTCTGGTGGTAATCTGGATGTGGTGTGAATGGGCCCTAAAGCAGAACTTAACCACTGGGTGGGATATCATCATAATGTACAAGTATGCTTAGCATACTTGTATATTATTATTATATTATTATACAAGATTTATATAGCGCCAACAGTTTGCGCAGCGCTTTACAATATAGGGCAGACATTACAATCACAATACAATTCAAGACAAGATGGTAAGTATATTAGGGTACACCTACCTCCTCGAGTCCCCTTATCCAGCAATGTGATGTCTGCCCCTCTCTTATTACTCCATTGCTGTCATCCTCTGTGTATGCCACTGTGAAGCAACTGATGATGTAACTCATGCACATGTGCCCAGAAGCTACATCATCCCCTGGCACCCAACTACATTTCCAGCATTTTACGGATGCCTGGAATGAGCTGGGTTGTACACTGCCCTTCTCGTGCGCTACAAGCAGTGTACACTAAATAAAAAAACTAAAAGAAACAGTTTTTGGTCACAAAAGACTTTGAATGTACTTTCAAGTTTGAGAAAAAAAAAACCAGAAAACAATTCAGTTACGCTTTAAAGAAATTATTGAAACCTTTTACTAGCAGCATTGTGGCTATTTGGTCACTAGAGGGCATGAAAGTACACAGGAATGTCTATTCAATTTAATGTCATACAAATAGTTACAAATAATGGTTCCACTGTACTCTAGCTTCCAGACATCAATACAGGTAGCTTTGCACCCATGCAATAATGACATATATTAAAATTCACATTTAACACTATGTAGCATACATGAGCTTAAGCGGGGCTCACAAGCCTTGCCTCTCTTTAGTCAGGCTCAGGTTGAATGAGGCAGTCATATAAGGTTTATTTTTATTATGATAACTCCAAAATATGTGGTCGCTGTAAGTACGTTATACTTTCCACTTTTTAAATGCACCAAATTCGACTTTTAGAATTCAGGGGGTAAAGCATAATGAGTACAGTTTCTGTTCTGTCCAGAAATATTTGTTCATAGTCAAATGCATAACATGTAAAAAAAGATGTTTTTTAATTTGTTTTTGTTTTAGTGCACTTAATAATAATAATTTATTATTATTATATTTCTGTTAATGCACTTAATAATAATAATAATAATAATAATATTAGCATTATTGCATTGCTGTAATTCCAGCATTAAACAGATGGCACTGCAAACAATCACCGCAGTAAGAATATGGCAGTGTTCATCTGCTGACTAAAAGCTTTTTTTTTTTTTTAATGAAGCCTTCCAGCCTCAGTGTAACACAATATGCTCAGAAGGGCTTTTGGTTTTTTTTATGGATCACAGCTGCAGATGAGGAGAGGTGCAGTACACACTTGCAATTTCATAGCATACTCTCTAGTAAGTGAATTCGACCTTAATATGTCAATTCTATTCACAAAGCTCAAGATTACCAGTTCATGGAAAATATTTGAATATAGATGGGAAATAAGTCACACCAGGAACATTTATTAATTCAGGTTAATAATGGTACTTGTGTTTTGTAGTCCGAGGGTATGCAGTGGGAAATAAACTCCCTGCAGTAGATGGATATATGAATTCAGAAGGTTGTCAGAATGGATCGATCAGGCAGCACCGGATGGTCTTAGCCGCACTGTATAGAGAGAGCAGTCAAGCAGAGCAAATGGTGTCAGCAGCACTATAGATGGATCGATCAAGCAGAGTGGATGGTGTCAGCAGCAGTGGACAGATGATTTGATCAGACAAGGCAGGCGAAATGACAGCAGCAGTTCCACTATCATAGTGAGAGCAGTTACTGTGGGGATGGTTCAGGAAAGGTATTGCTTGGTGTCTCCACATTGCAGGTACTCCAGGCAATTGCATCTGGCGCCTTAAGCGAATTAGGAAGGAGGAGCAGAGTGATGCCCTATATAAGGAGGCGTCGCCACCCACAGAGTACGGAACAGAGGAGAGGTGAGTATGTTACACTCAGCTGACATTTTCTGATTGGTTCTAGATTGTCAGTTGGTCCTCAGCTGTCAGTGGCACCCAGAATTGAGAGCCATCAGCTGCATTGTGTTTGCGTGTGACTCTCTAATGAGAAGACGTTGATAAACGTATCTCTAGCACAACACATCGTGTTGAGGACCATTTAAGCACAGATAGCAGGCAGGAATTGGGTTAAGCAAAACCACTCTTCAAGGAAACCAATTACGCTTCATATTTTGGCTGAATATTCAAGACCTGGAAGGGAATTTATCAAAACTGGAGCAGCTGTGCATGGTGACCATCAGTCTCTCTGTCTTTCTTTCATTTTCAAATCCTAACTGAACAAACTGAGAGAAGCTGATTGGTTGCCAGACACAGCTACTCCAGATTTTGTCTGCTCCAGTTTTGCGAAGTTCCCCCTCTGATTTTTTTTGGGAGAAAAATCCTAAATCCTATGCAATTAGCTGCTGTTAGCAGGGGATTCTTGGTAAGTGTATATCTGCCCCTACAGGTATGTGTGCATCACCTTTACTTGATTCATGTCTTCTGGAGTTTTTAAATTTACATTTGTATTTTTGTTTGTAGCAGACATATCGACCAAAGATTGAAGTGATATCTGGGGACAGTGATGACAGTGTTGATGACTGGGAAAGAAGTGATGTGACGCCAGAAATTTATGAGAGTGTAGAGCCAACACACCCTGTGCTAAATATATTCAGCAAGCCCAGTAATGAACTACCCCTGGTAGAAGACCACCTGCAAAAACACGAAGAGGTGGAAATTGGGCTTATTCAGGAGGTGGACGGCAGTCATGGGAAAGAGGGTAATACGGCGCAAGATAATATCGTAGATTACAGTCCTTGCATGGAATCCTTGGAAGCAATCATTTCAGGTTAGTATGGGAGTAATTATTCATTATTTACCTATTTGCAGGATATAATTGCCTGTATGTTTAAAATAAACCTCTACTGAATGTTCCTCCTATTTCACACAGCGGAACCTGGCTGTGGGGCTCAATTTGCCATCCAGGTCCTGTTCTGTGCATTAGGAGCCCTAACAGCAGCCCCTTTATTAACTACCTTCCGTCCATGGCCGTTTGTGAACGGCCGGACGGGAGTCTGCTAGGAGCGGGAGGGCGTCTTAAGACGTCCTGCCCCTCCCCCCTCTCGTGTGTGGCACTCAGCGCGCACACGAGAGGGAAAACTGTGAGCATGTAAACAGCCAGCGATGGCTGTTTACATACAAGCGATCGGGCGTCTCTAGATCGCTTGCGGGTGTGCGGCCCCCCCGGGGACCTAATTGTTTCATAACATTTTATAGGGAAACATGTTTTTTTTCAAAATTTAGGGTACCTTTTTTGTGATATAGTAAAAAATAAAACCCCCCCTAGTGGTGATTAAATACCACCAAAAGAAAGCTCTATCTGTCCCCAAAAAATGGTATGCAATTCGTATCAGTATAGCGTTGCATGACGGAATAAATGTCAGTCAAAGTACCGCAGCGCTGAACACTGAAAAATGGCCTGGTCAGGAAGGAGGTGAAACACCCCGGTCAGCAAGTGGTTAAGGAAACCTGTCCATTCCAGCAAACCAAGAATGGTGAAAAAAAACTGTAAAGGTGTTGGTTCTTCTCTTTGGTATAACCCACTTTGTAAAATCAGCTCAAAGGGTGTCAGTTCTTTATAGGTGCTGGATTTGTGATAGTCACACCTTTATCTTATATGCTCCATGCAGAACCCATGAAATATTTAGTCTTCAGACTGAACTAGTTGCTTGAACTTATTCAGTTTGCCATAAAGGCACTCTCCTGTGTAATTTCCACCCCAGGCTATTTCCTCACCCCTTAGATGCCCCATAAACACCCTAAGAGCTTACTTTGGTGAATTACTAATTTGTGGGGCAATCATTCAACAGTGGGACAGGTTTCAGCACTGATTCACCAAGATAGCAGTAGTGTGAATTTTAATTGGCTTGTTCATCTCCGATTCTACAACCTTTTGCTTTTTCTCTCACTTAAAAAACATAGCACTTTTGATATATTTACCCAAATTGTCAGGTCCCAAGTGTTACAATAGGGTTTCCTTGGTAGTACCAGTTGCTTTCATTCTTCTGTTTGCAATAACCTAAACATCTTGCACAAAGTCTACTAAACGTCTTCTTCTTTTTTCTTTTTTTTTGCAATAGGCGATTTTAACAGACAGGACAAGACAAAAGGAGGTCCCACTGCATCCCCTACCAGCCAGAAGGATGAAGACATTGAGTATGAATTGGACTGAGACAAAATATTAATTATTTCTCAAAAAAAGTCATTGGGCAAATATAACTTTTTTTTTTCTTTCTTTAGAAAAAAAAGCCTAACATTGTTAGAGTAAAACAGTTACCATGAGGTCCAAGATGATGCCTTTTTTTTAATGCATTGTTGGCCTTACAGTGGCCTGGAGTTCCACCAAGTGCTGTCAACTGCCTGGTTATGGAAGTAGAGGCATGTCTTTGCCCTAGCCCAGTTGCTGCCACATGGAAGTTTAAGGGCATCCAAGTGCAGCAAGCTATGATCTGGATTCTTTTTGTGCCGTTTTTTACTTTCAAACTGTTTACTTTTTCTTAGTACAGGTACTTTATAATTCATTCAGAAATTTAAACAAAACATCCACCCCTGCTCTCAGAACTTTTCACCTTCTAACACAAGAGTAAAATTAAATGGCTGTGCATTTTTCTTGATGGAAAAAAGAAGTATGATCACCTTAAACTCATGATCCCATGGCATAAGCATTACAATTGCAGAGGAGGCAAGTGATTCACTCATCTCATCAGGAGTCTCCTCAAGTACAACATTGTGTAGGCGTTTGTTCATATCTTCAAGTGTTGATAAAACAAAATGATGACACCAAGCTCTGTCTCTATCCAAGTTGGGTTTCCATTTCTTGGCCAGATTAATATCTGTATGGGAAAGCAGGCAAGACTTCAGAAACTGAAATCGCTTTGGCTAATGAATGTTTTAGCTTGCAAACATTTGCATCAAAGGTTTCGTCCAACCAAAGCTGGTATTTCAGCCATGAGTGCACACTTATAGGTATAATTACCCAATTATTATAATATTAGTGACTCCAGAGACAACACCACCCCACTGGAGTTCCGAGTTAAGGCTCTTCTAATAATGTAAGGTGTTCAACTTGTGGGTAGGCCAATCCTTTGAACATTTCTGAATGTATAAACGTTTATTTTTACTTTGCTTTAAGTTATTATTAGTGAAAATACTCTTTATATTTTGAATATGTGTACTTTTGATATCAATCAAAATGGTACATAAATCTTCTTTCTAAATTGTGTCTTTTTTGCTTTTGTTAACTGGCTCTTTCGGCATTATGCCAAAAGTGCAATTTTCGGCCGATATGTTTCGGCGGCCGATATATCGGTGCATCCCTAATAAAAACGATAAGGCTCAGGGCCGGATTTACTATGAGGCACAGTAGGGGTGTGCCTGAAGGAAACAGAAAAAAGAGGCAACTTTATAGTGGCTACATACCTTTTTCCTATCGGTAGAAATACAATCAACTGTATATGATTATTTATACATTGTCACAACTTTTTGTGTAAAAGCAATGATCCTAGCAGAGGAATGTTGGTTGGAAAACCTTGTCCTGCAACAGTGAAAGCAATAAACAAGGTCATGTGTAAACTCACATTCCTCCCATTACACAGAGGAGTGATACAATGGGGGGAAATTATGCAAACTGGTCTATAAGCAACTGCTCCAGATTCTGTATGCGCCAATCAGCTTCTCTCTTCAGTTAAGCTTTGAAAATTAAACAGACGCTGATTGGTTACTGTGGGCAACTGCCTCATATTCTCTCTGCTCCAGTGTTGAATAATCCCCCATTGTACTTGTACAGCTGTCTAAGGCCCCATTCACACTGAGCGACATGAAAATCGCGCGATTTTGAGCGATATTGAGCGACGTGTCGCAACTTTTTCCTATTGGGCTGTATGCAATCAGGAGCAATATCGCTCGAAATCGCTCTAAAAAAGGGTCATGTAGGAGCTACAAGCGATATTGAGCGATATTGAGCGACGAGATGTGAACAGCTCCATTGAAATGGATTGGAGAAGCTACATAGAGCGATATTGAGTGGAAATATAAGCGATATCGCTGCAAAAATCTCGCGATAAATCGCTCAGTGTGAATGGGGCCTAAAGCTGCAGTGTAGCTGCTTGCATCAGCTACGACACATTTATGGCAAGGGGTGAGCTTAGTTGAGAATGGGCCAATTTTAGGCCCCATTCACACTGAGCGACATGAAAATCGCACGATTTTGAGCGATATTGAGCGACGTCGCGCAACTTTTTCCTATTGGGCTGTATGCAATCAGGAGCAATATCGCTCAAAATCACTCGAAAAAAGGGTCATGTAGGAGCGACAAGCTACCAGCGACGAGCTACAAGCGATATTGAGCGACGAGATGTGAACAGCTCCATTGAAATGGATTGGAGAAGCTACATAAAACGATATCATGTGGAAATCTGAGCGATATTGCTGCAAAAATCGCTCCATAAATCGCTCAGTGTGAATGGTGCCTTAATATGGATTTTGGTCTTTTTCAGGTCAGAAAACTGCAGGCAGATTCTTGTCTTGCTTTACCTCAAACACAAATCAATATAATTGAAGGCTATGTAGATACTAACAAACTGTACTGGAGGAATACATAGGGTGACGTTTCTTAATTCTCCTTTTGAAAATTGCTTGGCTGTTGTTTTATTACATTGAGTCACTGACCTACAATAATTGTGCACATTAGGAGTCCTGACTTTTAGGGCTAGTTCACACCAGATGCAGTTGTGATGCAGTCCGTTCAGTTTGGCAGCAGCATCAAAATAGTGTCACAATGCATTGGGATTTCTGGTGCTCTGTTCACACCAGTGCAGTCAGAAAAAAAATCCTGCTTGCCACATTTTAGCTGCGACCTGATCGCAACGGAACAAATGCAAACACACTGGACTATACCTAAAAGCCCATTGTAAGCTAAAACAAAAAAGTGTCCAAGTGGCAGTAAAAAACCTTGCACTGCAGCTGCACAGACAGTTCTGATGCAGTATGGTGTGAACTAGCCCTTACCAAACTGGGTCAGTGACCTAGAAGTATTATGATTATCCAGAAGGCCACCTGCACTCACGGTCTCACAGTTCCAAAGTAACAGTGGTGCTCAAGGTGAGCGCACGGATGCTGCCATGCAGAAACTCAAAGTAATCGTAGCTGTGCACCGGCACACACAAAGCAAAGTTTCAAATATCAATGTTCTTTGATATATTATTTCGTGAAATGCCACATCATTTCATCAGAAGTTAATGTTTTGGGACCTCGCAGAGACCCCCCATCAGAGCGGCACAGAGACAATATACAAGCATGAACACCAAGTGTAATATGTGTGTGTGGGGGGGGCGAGTGGAATGACAGCGAGGGGGTGCGCCTCCGGAGGGACCAGGGATAGGACACTACCGCCGTGGCAATCGCTCGCTCGCTTCTGTTCTCTCTTCTCTTTCTCGGCTGCTGCAGCTACAGGGCGGGCGGGTGATCTGTGCGTCACATTGCTGACCTCTGCACTGTGCGTCACATTGCTGACCTCTGCACTGTGCGTCACATTGCTGACCTCTGCACTGCCGGTCACATTGCTGACCTCTGTATTCTGCATTGCACCACTGAATTCTGTAATGTGCGTTGTTGCTGATCTTTGACCTCTGCACTGTGCGTCACATTGCTGACCTCTGCACTGTGCGTCACATTGCTGACCTCTGCACTGCGCGTAACATTGCTGATCTCTTCACTGCGCGTCACACAGCTGGCCTCTGTATTCTGCATTGCACCACTGAATTCTGTAATGTGCGTTGTTGCTGATCTTTGTACTCTGCGTCACACCGCTGACCTGTCGGAGATAAGGGCAGGGTAGGGTTTAGGTGGGGCAACTGGTGGCGAGGTAACTTTTAAGGTCTGGCTAGTAGCTTAGGACTTTAAATATATATATATATATATATATACAATTGTTTTCATACTTACCAGTAATTTTCCTTTCCTGGTGCCTATCCATGGCAGCATACTAATGATAAGCTCCGCCCTTAATCCTACCCACAGGATCAGTAAAAATCTATAAACTGAGAGGTGTCACACCCCCCTCCGGCATTCTCCTAACTATGCTCAAAGTGAGTACCACAGGGAGGGAGTATGCTGCCATGGATAGGCACCAGGAAAGGAAAATTACCGGTAAGTATGAAAACAATTTTCCGTATCACTGGTCCCTCCATGGCAGCATACTAATGATCAGGGGCTGACTGGCAACTTTTAGCCCAGGGGGCAAGTACAACCCAGAGGCCCATGGTGCAGCAACTTGGCCCCCCTCCCGCTCTGCCTTCTCCCCGCCCCTGTCTGCCACTTTTGCCATCCATGTAACAGGAGTGTGAATGTATCTATCGGTTTAGAAAATTTAAAGCACACTGGTAGTGGAGGGATGCCTCGTCAGGGCTGTGCGTGTGTATGACTGCTGCGCCCTTGGTAGTTCTGCCACTAGCTCAGAAATACATTGCACAGCATTGCAGAATGGCATTGGCTATAGAGAACTACAATTCCCAGCAATACCATTATACAGCAATGCAGAACAGCATCAGCTTTAGAGGACTACAAATCCCAGCAATAGTACATTATAGCTGGTGGTATTCTGCATTGCGCTGTATAATGCTGGGTTTTGTAGTCCTCTATAGCTGGTGGAATTCTGCATTGCGCTGTATAATGTACTATTGCTGGGTTTTGTAGTCCTCTATAGTCCTCTACAGCGCAATGCAGAATACCACCAGCTATATAGGGATACAACAAATCCCAGCAATACATTATACATTGAGTGTATAATGTATTGCTGGGATTTGTAGTCCTCCTATAGCTGATGGTACATTGCTCTGTACAATATACACTGAGTGGCCAGTTTATTATGACCACCTGACGTTTGTAGGCAAATTAGCTATAATTTCACGCTGAAGTTGCTGGTGGAAGGGGGGTGCGCGCTTACCTGAGCAGTCTTCCAGCAACTTGCTTCTGAGATCGGGACTGTCTATCGGCGGCTGTCATCCCCCCACGCCTGCTCCTCCTTACTTCTCCCTGCGTCCCTGTGCCGTTTGGGGATGCACGTGAGACTGGGAGGAGGTGCGATGTGTGGAGCGTGGATGCCGGCGGGCAGGTCTGACAGCGGCAAGCATGAGGCGTGGAGGAGGTGCGGAGTGTGGATGTGGGCTGGCGGGT